AGGCTAGAGAGAGAGGGCATAAGTCTGCGTACTCGAACTTGTGAAAAGTAAAAAAATATCTGTCTTCATCATTTAGTTTAATATAAAACATAGATCAGAAAATGCTTCATTTATATGCACAGCACTTTGGTTTTTGGATGATTCGTTAAATTCCCTACTCCTCTTTTTTTTATGCAATTTTGACCGGTTTTCTGAAAACATCTCAAGCCTTGCCTGTGTACGTAAAACGGATAAAAACATCTTTTTAATGCTGCATCTGTCCGTATAGGCATCTTTAGACGAGCTCTATCAGTTCTTACTGATCATATATGATAGTACAGAAACAGTTTCTATGCAAAAACTCTGAGTATATATTCTTTCTCTCTCCATTTGTCGCACAAAATTACTCGCTTCGATTCTATGGAGGAAAGAGATTCTCATGAGCTATGGAGATCGGAGTTTAGATGAGGCCTTAGCTTTCAATAAAAAAACTTCAAGAAAACCCAGAAAAAATTGATTTCGTCATTACAGATGGATTTAGTCCACTAGTGCAGAAAGTCTCTTCAAGATCGGATGTAAAACCAAAAGGTGTTTTCTGAAGAGAAAGACAAGCTTAAATTACAGAAAAAGAAGTTTCTGAAACCTTTTCAACGTATTTCAGAAATAGAAGCTCCAAAGAAATGTCTTCTGCGATAAATAAAATTACAACAAAGTTTTTTGCACGGCGTTTTTTAGGTACTTCGTGAAGAGCATTCAGAGGTAACATTTCGTCGTACACTAGAAAAAGCGAATGTTTTTTCAGCTAAGTCCTATGATGTTTTTTGTTGATCTTGGTTAGCCGAAGTTTTGACGACCTTTTTTTACCATATAGAAAGTTAATTTTTTGAATGAATCACCAATTTCTCAATTCTCATCACATTCAGTTAAGCACCCGAATTTGTAACAACCACTTACTTAGTAAGGTCATACTGTTGAAGATAACGAACAGGTTCTTTCAGAAATGTGCACATCAATTTCGGCTTTTCTTTTTGTGATGTAAGTTCATACAACTCGATTTTACACACATTTTGAGTATTCAATAATAACTGACTACCTCGTTTAACTAACATATTTAATAATTCAAGCATATCATGATGTTCATAAACGGTGTTACTTAGTAAGCTTTCTTTGGCTTGTTCACTTGTGCGTAATGGAAGTCGAAATAATGTTCCGTTAAATGATTCATCAACAAGTTCACAAACACTGTAATCGAAAATACCACTATATGGTTCAAACTGATCTTTGTAACTGCGAAGCATTGTTCGTTGTGATGGTGTGAAATCAAGACGTATACCGCCATTACCATATTTTCCTAGGTATTTGCAATGTGGATCAAGCATGATTAATGTTTGCTGACTGATTAAACTAGGTAAATCAGTTACATTGTAGACAGAATTGAATCCTAATCCAAACTTTCCAATTTTATCTAAGTCATTCACTTTTGTTCCTTCACCAAGTCTGATCAAATTTTGAAAATCATTTTCAGTGAATACAGCATCATTATATACCCAAAGGGCTCGACTTTGGAATTGTACTAAAGATGGTTCCAATAAATGTGTAGTCCATTGTAAATTCGATCGATTATCATAAAGGAATTTTACTACATTTGCTCGAGCATCATCGGCATTTTGAATGAACTCCTTAAATATTGCTAGCCTATCCGTGTAACCTTCCTAAAACACAATCAACAAGGTTTATAATGGATATGACCGATAATGCAATCAGTGAAATGCTCATACATTAGTCGCATTTTATAAAGGCATTAATAGCCTGGTGCAGAATTATAGCAGGAAGAAGAAGAAACTATTCTATTAAGGAGATTTCTCTACAGTGCAGATCTGTTGCATCTAGAAAATTGGGTTCGACGAAGACTAGTGGAAATTCTACTAAAGCTGCGTCAATAAAGTTCAGAAAAATCTGTGCTATTTTGAATTAAATTTATAGATGAACTAGATACAGAGGACTATTTGCGTAAAGTTTGAACTCTGTTGGAAGGGTGAAAACTTATTATATTCAATAGATCATTTTTACAAATAGTGTTAACCTTGAAAAGTAGATTTCTATCACACCAGAATAAAAATCAACGATTTTTTTGTCAGAAATGTAGTACGAACATCAGGGTTTAGTCTTAAAATCATTTTTAATCTTTATTTAAATGTAGAAGAAACTGAATTTTTATCATTCATAGTTTTTTTTAACTTTTTTCCTCGCCTCAGTTATCTGATCATTCGACTAATTGAACGCTATTTTGCCTCATTTAGATTCTAAACATGATGATGAAATAGCTGAACTAAAATCGTCTTATGATAAATTTCTAGAAGACATTCAACAATAGCACCTTCTAAAAAGATGAATTATGTGAACAATTATCAATAGCATTAAAGCAAGTAAGATCTGATTTACATTCAAAATTGTCCCAGTACGATCGAGAACATGTCGAATATGAAGAACAAAAAGTTCAGATTAAACAATTAACTGATTTTCTGCGTGAATACAATTATGCGGAATTGGAACAGAAATATATGAATCGAGAACGAGGTTATATCGAAATGCAAAAGAATTGTGATTATTTCAGACAAGAAATAGAACGATTAAAAAATATTGAACTAACAAATTTAGAACAAAATTTGAAGACAAAACAAGAATTAGATTTGATGCAACGTGAAAAGGAGACATTGGAAGAATTGAATTTAGAATTATTTCACTATAAAGTACAATTTCAGCAACAATATGAGTCTGATATGGAACCAAAATTATCGTCACCGGAGTCGCCGTTACATCAATACATGAACAGGAAGATGATCGATGTAAGTCATATAATTGTATTGGAGACAATTTTTGGAAGAATGTGACTGACGGAGGAACCTTCCGAGGTGATGAATCGCTTTTTGATCGAAATATAGTGGGTTATAGGTTATCGATCATGCTGATTCCGAATATGACCATGAGGGTTTCACATAGCCCTTCGAAGATCCGGCCTTCTGGAAAACCAGTTTTTCAGAAACTCCCTAAAATAACCAAAGCCTTTCTTAACGAGACAGAATTGTACAAATTTCTGATTAAAATGAGATATCCCCCAGCTCTACATGACCTTTCTTTGCAAAGTTATAAAATTTATAAGAAAAGCCCTAATTAATTTCTTCTTATTTCTGTAGCTTTGAGCTTTGAGCTGTATTTGTGCGTTGACAGGCGTAGGAAAACAAATAAGCAGATTGCCTCCCATTCCGAATTATAAATGTTTTTCGCAAAAAGGAACGGATAGTTTTGGGGGGGGGTTGCTTTCTTGTGCATGCCAAAATTAACTGTGTTGTAGTAGATTCAACAGGAAATTTCCTTCTGTACACTGCCTGAACAATTTTGGATAAAAAACTCTATATCGCAAATGTTTATGTCCCTCCAAGCTGTATACCACCGTTCGAAATGTTTGAAAAACATAAAGAAAAAAATATTTATGTTTTTGGAGATTTTAATTGTAAACATACAGATTGGAATTGTGAAAAGTCTAATCCTAGTGGAAATAAACTTCATTCGTGGTTAGAAGAGAACGGTTTCATTACTATTCACTCTACTATGCAAACATCAAAAAAGTCAAAGTCAGTCATTGATTTCTGCATTGGAAAAGATTGTGGAGGTTGGAGTGTAGAAAGGTTAGAGGAAGGAGATTCTGACCACTTTCCACTCTTGTACTTTAGTCCTTTCGTAGCAGAAGAGAATGGGTTGTTTAGAAAAACTAAATGGAATTTATTAATTTTTTTCTTAGTGTGCATCCACTCTGAAATTTGTTTGTATATAATATCGACTACAATTGCTTTTTTGAACTATTTTCAATATTTCTCGCTGCATTATGTGATCGATGTAGTGAATATGAGTCAATTAAAAATTATAGACCACCTTGGCCACCATATTTAGTTAGAATGGTGAAGGATGTAAATAAAGCAAAACGAAGATTCAGAAGAACTAGATTTCTAGGAGATTATCATATTTTTAAACAAAAACATTCAGAATACGTTAAAGAAAAGATT